GGCTCATGGGCTCGTGCCCCACGAGCGCTCGTCTCTTAACGAGTCGAGCCGAGCTCGACTCGTCTATGAACGGGTCCGCTCGGCTCGAGCTCGGGCTCGTTTTTTGACGAGTCCGAGCGGCTCGTGGATCGCTACAGTACGAGCCGAGCGGCCGAGCCGACGAACCGCTCGGCTCGATTGCCATCACTATATAAAGGTTAAAAAAATGACTTTATTCGATAAAAAGTTAAATAAAATTGAAGTTACGGTGCTATCTACATTATGTACTTATGATCTCGAGATTCGTTGTTTTGTTGATAACTTCAAAAGAATGTTATGAAGTTCATATAAATCCATTAATTAGGATTTACCTAGTTGAAAATTGAAACTATGAAAAATAGTCTAATTTTTTCATTTCAAAAACTTGAAAATTCTATAATTGACTAATTATAGGAATTATTAAATAAATATAGTATTTTATAATTTTAGATATTTGATATGTATTATTTTAATTATTAAATAATTTTTTTAAAGCGATTAAAAATTTAAAATAATACTAAAAACAAGAAAACATTTTTTTACACTTAGGGGTCGTTTAGATTCGTTCGTAAAATTTGAAATTTCATCTTTACGTTTAACTACGGTCTTTAGAAAATTGAATGGAGTTTTATAATGTCAATTTACAAGTGACTTGACAACTTCTAAATCTATAAAACGCCTTTTCACACACAAATACAAATATCATTTCCCAAAAAGTTTCTCTCCCTCACCTCGGGTTGTGCTAAATGTACACCCAATTAATTACCTAATGGATTATACCCCCTTCACATGGAGGGGGCCCACGAATATTTTATTGTGTGTGAGCCCCCTCCATATGAGGGAGTGTAATCCATTATGTAATGGATTGTGTACATTTAGACTAGGGCCAAATTCATAATTCAGGTGTATGATTTACACCAATTCAAAAAGCAGGCCCCAAGTTTTAGAATTGCAAAAATAAGGTTTTTTCATGAATTAATTAATTATATTTTACAATTATTATATTAAATTAAATATTTAACTATAATATAATATAATTAACCCACCCCACTTTACCTCCACCACCCTACTACTCCGGCGACTACTCCGACTGCACTTAACATCTCAAATCTTAAGCTATGAAAAGCAAATATTATATTTTTATTGGATTTATTTTACCCATTCATCCAAAAGAGAAGGGACTATTTATTTCATGGTCTCTGTAAGCAGCTTCTAGACAAAAGCACTGCAGCAATGATCTAACATGTTTCACAAGGATCAAATTTAGCTGTTTAAAAGAATCATCTCCAAGTCAAATGATGAACGTCACCACATTCAGTTCCACATCGTCATAATTAATTGGTCACATATTATTTTGATGTCACAAATCAGAAAATTTCTATGTCACAATTGACTTCATTGGCCACTGATCAAAACAATTATAGGTCACATATTTTTAATTGGTCACAAGTTAAAAAAATTGTAGATAATCTGGATCACATATTTCCAAATGTGTTGGTCACATATCATATTTTCAGTCACAAATCATCGACATTTAAGGTCACAATTTAATCATTAGCCACAGATAACCATATAGTTGGTCACATACACCCAAACACTCATCCACCGGTCCCAATCCACCACCAATAATTGGTCACAGACACTCGAATTTCAAGGTAGCCACAGAGAACCATATAGCTGGTCACATACACCCAAAGGTCACAGTCACTCTTCGTCGCATCCCTGCCTCCGCCGCCACCGCCGTCGCTACCTCCACCGCCACAACCATCCACCAATAATAAAACTAACAACCACCACCACCCAACA